CGAGAGCACTGCTGCTTTGATAGAAAGCGTTGCAGAACGCTTTAGGGAATAGTCTCGCCGAAGTAAAGTTAACCTGGTTATTACCATCAGCATTCCAGTAACCTGGCAATTAGGATCAAATATTTAGAGCAGGAAGACACGTCCACATTTCTGACATCACCACAAAGACTTTCTGCAGAGGTGCACTGTGTGTTGTTAGCTTTAGTGAACAGTGCTTCCAGACCTCCCAAGCCAACAGACTTCTGCAGTAAACACAGGAAATTACACACCTGCTACCTCATAGCTAGCATCTAACAGCATTCTGACCACAGCTATAAAAATTGCATCTCTACATCACAAAAACATTTTTTATAAAGCATTCCAGAGGCTGAAGAAAAGCCAATAAAATGCAGTGAATGCAAATTAATTTTGACTTCTGATCCAGCAACAGCAGGAGAGGTATGTCATATACCCCATCCCCAAGCTCCTTTGCAGATGCAGGATCTCAGTACTACTCTGAAGACTACAGCAAGTTGGAGCTTTAGAAAGCTATGTGCAGGCAGAAGCCCTCAGCTGCGCAGAGCCTCTGCTCATGGCTGCTGGCTGTGTGCAGTTACCCCGCTAGCTACAGCCAAGCACACGGACACCTTTGTTTTAATAGCCCAGAAGAAAAAAAAACAGCATTTGGAGGATGTTGCAACAAAGCTACTCACAGTCAGTCAGAGCACACGCAATTTTGAATAAGGGTAGTTGTAAGGTCACCTTTCTGTGAGACAAAATACAAATTGTCCACAAATTGGCCACAATTCCACCCCGCAGGGCTGGAACAAGCCCCTGTATCTGTGCTGCAGACGCTCAGTCATCCACACAGGAGGACAAATGAACGCTGCATCTAAAGTGACAAGATACACGTCACCAAGCAGAGCCATTCCAAGCTGACAGAGAAACACAACCATCAGGAATGTAACATTATCAGACATTTTAACTCAAAAGCAGACCATCTTCAAGCTGCTCTGGATTGCATGCTACACTCAATGTTTAGAGCAGCTAAAGACCAACCTGTGGCAGGCAGCAGCAGAACAAATCCTGTTCGATCGGGCTTTTTTATTTCTGCAATAATCTAGGAAAACTGCAACTAAGTCTACACAAGGATTTGTCACCAACAAACAATTCTGACAGAACTAAAATATAATCATTCCTCCCACACACTAATGATGGAATGACTAGAGCTAAATGGTGCCCCATAATAATTTTACGTGTATGAAGTGTTCCATTTCATTTACTGATATTATAAAAGTGATGCATTGGCCATAACGTTTACTGTTTACAATCTGCAATAAGCTATATCCTTCTCAGGGGAGATTAAATAATCAAGAAAATGTTATTCGCACTGTGTATTTGAGGAAAGTAGATCGTGGTGCCAATTACAGATTCTTTCCTATACTAAAAAGGATGTACGTTAGCCTAGGAAGGCGGGAGAAGCGAAGAGAGAGGATCAGAGAGGATTGGATTTATTTTCTTCCCATCTGAAAAGAAGTTCACATGCTCACTGTTGGAAAAAATTCTTTAGTTCAACAAAGCCTGAAGAGCAAAAAAATGCTAATGTTAGTTTTTGGTAGTTGCTGAAAACACTTCATTATAGGGCAAGAAAAATGAAAGCTCTGATGGACCATCCTGTGACTCAGAAGGCTACAAAGAAAGATCCAGCAGCAGTTAGCATGCAATTCTATTTCCAGAGTATCTGTTAGAGGTGAATATTTTAATGACAGCATTTGTTTAATGTATTCTTTATTAATATTGTTTATACACCATTTTCCACTGAAACATCACAGAGACCAATGCAGGCTATAATGAACTAAGTGTAATAACCTCCAGAAAACAGATGTTGCATTATTCATTTTACAGATAAGTACAAGCAAGTATGAAAAATTAAGTGACTTCTCTGCTCAGAGTGCCAGAAGCACAGCTGTGAATATAATCCAGATACCCCAACTTGCAATGATCTGTTAACCACTAAACATTAGCCTTTCTAAAATGAAATTCAACCTTCCCTCCCATTTCACTCTCCTTCTGACAAGTCTGGCAAGGCCAGTACCGAAGACGTTCGCTTCATGTGGCCGACTCAGGAAACCAAAGCTTAACAAAAAAATCAACAAAAGACAGTTGGCCTTACCACACGGTAATTCCAAAATCCCTTGTTGTAGGGGTCAGTTACCCGTCACTCTGCTTCAGCTGCACAGTCAGCAATAGCTCACGAATTTAAGGCTGCTGGCCAAAAGCAGTCTGGGTCGGAGGCATCGGGGGTCGAGCATCACCCCCAGAACACCTGCTGCAGGCCTGATTCATGGCAGGCACTGAAACCCATGAGCTGCCACTGCTGCATCCAACGAGGGGAAGGAATGGATAGGATCATCAGAGAAATGTATACTGCCCCGACAGCTGCTCTTCCACATGTCCTGTCTCATGTGGACTGTTATCTTTAAGCTGCTTTCCCTAAGGCTCTCAGCACTGGGCTACGTGCCGCAGCAGCCTGGTGACCCAAAACAAGGCAGAAGGTTAAAAACGCTTATCAGCATTCCACTTACACTGCATGTTTTCAGTGCTGTAGCAGTGATGCTCTACAGTGTCACAGTTCAGAATTTATGCTCCTCAAAGCCAAGGGTTTTCTACCAACGCATAAGAAACACATTATGGTCTAAGGAAGACTTTAAGAAGCAAGCTGCCCAGAGAGGTTGTGGATGCCCCATCCTTAGAGGTGTTCAAGGCTAGGTTGGATGGGGCTCTGGGCAGCCTGGTCTAGTATTAAATGGGGAAGTTGGTGGCCCTGCATGTGGCAGAGGGGTTGGAGATTCATCATCCCTGAGGTCCCTTCCAACCCAGGTCATTCTGTGATTGTGTGTGCAGCAAAGAGTTTAGACAGAAAGAAAAAGGAGGGGGTCGGAGGAAGACCAACTTTTCACAGCCTGATAATGAGGAGGAAACAAGGAGGAAAGCTTTAAACTAAAAGAGGGGAGATTTGGATTGGATATTAAGAGGAACTTCTTTACTCAGAGGGCTGTGAGGTGCTGGCACAGCTGCCCAGTGAAGCTGTGCATGCCCCATTCCTGGCAGTGCTCAACGCCAGGTTGGTTGGGGCCCTGGGCAGCTGAGCTGGGGGGTGGCAGCCCTGCCCACAACAGAGGTTGGAACTGGGTGGGCTTTGAGGTCCCTTCCAACCCAAACCATTCTATGATTCTACGATTCCATGAAGGAAGAAACAAAGGAGAAAAGCACTGAAAATCCTACTGGTCAAAGAAGTTAAAGAAAATCAACACAGCTTAGAAATGACAATGTACAATCATAATTTGTTTGTCAACACCTACTATATACAACCTCAAAAACACACAGGAAGTGGAAACTTTAGAAACAAGTGGAATTAATCAATTTTAAGCAGTCTTCATATGGTCACAAAAAAGAAAAATCTCTCCAAGTGTTTGAGTACTTAAAGGACATGAACATTTTTGCATTCACAATCTTTAAGCTTAGAATTGAACAACATCACACTCAAAAGCTTTCCAAAAAAGTCACCAAAGAACATATTTCAGATACCTACGCTTTAAAACAATTGCATGAACGCACAATAAAACTATGCTGGTTCATACATGTGGGCAAAAATCAAAACTTGTTTCCTCAATAACTATGGTCAGACCACAGACCCCAGGCTTCTCACATTAACGGACTTCAGTAACACTCAAGCATACAACAGCCAAATTTCAGCAATTTGTTACGAATCAACAGTCTCAAGATTCACACTGTTGAAAAGCTATACCATAAAACACAGGAACATACAAATTGTGCATTGTTCCAAGTGTACTAAAACTTGACAGCATGAAATCTACTCTTCTTATAATATTAAAGTCAAGACCATTGGAAATGCATGCATATCAAACCTTTGGAAATATGAGTGAGGTAAATTAGGAACATGCCAAATAAATGCACACACTTTTACACAAGTAAATACTGAGTACTGTTTTTTATAGAATTTTAAAGAAATGAACAGAGTCAGTTCTCCAGGCCCTGTGCCCAACTGTATTCGTGATAGCGTTCCACAAGCTACAGGCTCAGAGATTCAAGTCCAAAGCAGCCCATGAGCATCACTTCAAAAAAAAGCTCTTTCCTGAAATATTCATCCACAAAGTCACAAAGCACAGGGTTCAGCCTCATCCACAAACAAACCAGAAGTACTACACACTGAGCAGGCTCTCAGATACACACTGACGTCCAGTTTCAGCACTGGGGGACTTTCTGATACTCCTACAGCTATAATGACAACTGAAGAATGTGTGGTGATCCAGGCCTCCTGTTTGCTGCATTCTACCAACCAGTCCTAAAAACAGATCCAAAGGCAGAAAAACGTTCTGTCTCTGTCACTTCCTTCACACAAGCACATCAGAAAATCACAACCTTTTCTATAGAGCTTATCATAATACTGCAAGCTGTTGGTACAAATGTTCCATCCCCCCCCCCCAAAAAAAAAGAAAAAAGTATCTCTCCAGCAGTATTTTCTGAAGCCAGATATTTTCTTCCACCTCACTGGAAAAGCCCCATTTGCCCCGTGCACCTCTCTTTGTTCAGTTCAAAAAATTCAGATTTGCAGACACAGACCTTGAAAAATGCATCTTGTTTTGGACAGCATTGCAGCATCACTGCAGAGACGCCAAGGGCCATCACACAGCTACATTTTTGAATCTCAAAAAGCAAAGTAGAAGACCGATCTGAGTACGTACTAATTTGTGGCTTACACCTGTTGACAGATATTTTGCATAGCAACCTCGCGTTTGCACAGCACCTCGCGTTCTCTTAGTTGTTGTGCTTTCAGCCACAGCGATTCAGGCCGATCGGTTTCCCCGGCTGTCCCGCTATCTCCTCACAACACAGACCCAAAAGCCGCGGGCGCGGCGAGGCCAGCCCCGCTCCTCCCGCCAGCAGTGCAGCTCCCGAGGCGCCGCCGCCCGCCCCCCAGCACGGCCGCGGGCGCTCACCGGGCGGTGTCGAGCAGCGGGTGCTTGGTGCCCACCAGCTTGCGGACCTGCATGGCGATGTTGCTGAGCTCGTCACTCAGCAGGCACCGCAGGCTCATGAAGGACGTCGGGTAGCCCACGATCTTCTCGGCTTCCGACACCACCTGGCTCCAGGGCGCGGCCGAAGGCGGGCCGCCCCCCGAAAGCCCCCGCCTGCCTCCGCCGCGGCCCGCGCATCGCAGCAGGGTTCCCCACATCCCGCCCCGCGCCGCTGCTCGGCCCGGCTCAGCCTCGGGCGGCGGACCGGCGCGGCCTCATCGCGCCCTGGGGGCAGCCATCTTGCGCGTCGCAAACGGGCCGTAAAGTGAGGCGGCGCGGCTCTCCCCGTTTCGCCCGTCTTCCGCGCCTGACGGCCTCTCGCGGCATCCCCGCGTTGAGGGTCACGCAATACTCCGAGTGGGGAGGGAGCCGCGAGGATCGCCCAGCGATTTCCCCAGCTCCGCACATCGCTACATAAAATTCACTCCCTGTGTCCCAGCGCTCCTTGATCTCCAGCACTCGGGGCCGTGCCCACCGCCCTCCGGTGCGGAACCTCTTTCTAACAGCGACGTCTGAGCTCTGCTGCTTAGAGGCAGAATTCTGATGAGAAAACAGCCCCATTGACTGCATTCCGGTGAAAAACGGGGCATTACGTCTCTTACCTTTCTAAATACGGAGTACATCTCACGTGTTGCTCCACGTGATTGAAGAGCTACAGTGAAGGATAATGTGAAAAAAAAGGTGCAAACAACACAATTCCATCATGAAACTAAAAATGAAGTGCAGTCCAAGAAAGCACAAGCAAATAGAAGTTCTTGAAATGATAGCGCGAAAACACTGTTAGCTGTTTCCATGGCTAACACAAAGGGGTTCACTGCTCTCACATCTGAGACAAGACTCAAAACAGACACCAACAGTTTATTAGTGCCCTACAGAAGGGAGTTTGGCTGGAGCTGATAACATCGGGACTTGTCTGTGGCAAACAGCCTCCCCCAGACCTGAAAGAGAACAGCTGGAATGTAGAGAGCCTGCAAAGTCTGCTTTCTGTGCAGTGTGTCTCTGGGAGAGTCAGCCATAACTCTGAGAGAGCTACCATTGAGTTAGCTTAGCTACTGTCACAGAGCAAACTGGTGCTAGATAGTGAGTTCCAGCTTATAAACACTGCCTGCAAATGACAGAATGTGATGGCTTTCTGCTTCTGTGCAGAAAGACTGAGTTAATGAAAAATGCCGGAGGGATGTACTTAAGAGGAGCTAACAAGGCACCTCAACCTATAACACTGACAAATTCCTTGATCCATTTCCCGAGCCCTGTATGTTCTTGCACTTAATGTGCTAAGTGTTCTGTGAAAAAGTAACATGATTATTCAATTACAGTCTACTTAAAATAATACATATAAACAGAGCAAGGAGAATTAGAGTTCCATGGGCAGTAAACCTACCATCTCCTAATGTGTGAGACTTTAGCTTTTGAAAACTCTGTTCTTCATGTTATTCTAAGAAACCACACACCTCTGCTCTTTTTATATAGAGCTCTCCTAAATGCAAATGGTTTAGAAGTAGGGCAAGAAGCTTCATAACCACAACACAGTATGCTGCTGCTATAGCTTCCTAGGGATTCATGAGTGTCAACAGCAGGTAGGCATTCTTAAACAACTTTTTTTTTTAATCTTTTTTTTTTTTTTTTAACTTATTTGTTTATTTTACTGCAGAATAATCTTTGAAAGCATTATACCATAATACTCGAGGACCTTCTTCCTCATGCTGTCAACCCAATGCCTTAATCCAAGCTATACTTTCATGCCCATTTTTGACTTCTGGTCCTGGTACATGGTTTCACCCTGCTAACCTTCTCACTTCTTTACTTCAGTGTAGCACAACATCCTTACTGGCATATTTTTTCTCATTCTTCTGACAGCTTCCTCATCTTTTTCTCATTAAGTTCCAGTCATCCTCATGTCTACACAGCCTGCATCCTAGTCATGGGCTCCTCTTTTCATATGCATTTATGGGTGTGGTTTGTGGGGAGAAGCACAAAAGCCCTCTCTCTGCTCTTGTGCTGAGCTCTATAACACCCCTACTTCTGTGAAAATCAATTGAAGTCCAGGTAAGCCTAATGGAGACGTCCATTACTGTTGGACTTTCCAGGCACCAGAAAGTGGAAATGCCATTCTGATGAAGGGTAGTTATTTACACTTTTTAAATGTAGAAACTGAGAGATTCTCCACCTATCAAATCTCTAGCAAATCCTTGGCAAAGCCAAATTTCTATTTTAGAAAATGGAGATGCAAGAGTTGCTCACTTATACAGACCAACAGCATTTTTAATGTGAGCAAAATAGTGTATTTTTCACCAACCTTCTTTTGCAAACTGACCGGACTGCTTTAAAAATCAGCTTCATGTTGAAACACTAATCACAGAAAAATTCATTACACATTAGTAAAAATTTTACAGTTACAAGCATTAAAATCCAGTCTTACAAAGGGGAATGATAGACAATCCTACCCAGAGGTATTGCTGTTTGTACTGCTTATAATACTGAGTTCCTCAGGTTTTTTTTCTTCTCTCTTCCTCTCAGAATACAAATAACTAAATAAAACAGAAGCAAAAATGTGATGTACTTACCATATTTTAAGTTATGGACACAACAGTATGTTTGCTTCTTGCTTGCTTGCTTTCGGCTTGGTTCATTTCCCCTCAGGAATCAATAGAAAAAGCCACACTATTTCAAGGGCTTCAATATGTGTACAATACATGTGTCTATTTCTTTAGAGTCTTAAGTAGAGAGGGAAATGGTAAGTCTTTTTTTTTTTTTTTTTTTCTATCAATTGACTTTGTCAAGCCTTCCCAGGAAGAGAAAGAAGCCACTGCAGGGGGCCAGTATCACACTTGAAGAACAAAGAGGAGAGGTGAGGGGACATTTCTGTTTACAGCAGCACGCTCTGGATTGTATACCACAGGATACATCAAAGCCAGCACTAATGCCAGCTCTGGATTTCTTCTAACAAATGAAATGTGGGAATATTTTCCTGACTGCCATCTAAAGCAAAACTTTTGCAAAGCACTTACACTTGGTTGTGGAACAGTTGACCATTCAGTTACTCTGGCCCTATGCAAAATAAATTATGTCCATAGGAGAATGAAGCTAGAAATATTTGTATTTAATGCTCTGTATACATTACACAACCAATAATTGTTCTGGACATTGTTTAAGTTTTTAATACGTTAAAACATTGGTTGCACTCCACAAACATCCACAAATATGAAAGCAACATGAATATGTCATTGTTTTCCAAAGTATCCAAGTAGTCTCCCCACCACACATACTTACATACAGCAAATTGATTTACTTCACAACATCCTGGAGAAAGTAGGCAGTTATGATAATTTCCATTTTGAAAGTCAGAAGGTTTAAACTTAGAGGTTATGTGATTTGTCCAAGGCTTCACAAAAGCCCTAAGGCAAACTGAGAAAAGAATTCTCTTCTCTTGTCCTGGCTGTCTGTGCCTTGTCTGCAAGGCTGCCTGTCTTCCTACTAGCCTATAGCCTACAGAGAAGTATGAATGCTTATTGATCCTTTAGTTACACACACACACAAAAAGCCAGTGTAATTCAATGTCAGGTGATTTCAGTAGGAGCCACATGCTCTGGATGGAATTTGGCAAGAAAATATGTTAATTTTTAAATCTAAATATACCTACTGAGATACCAATATCAGAAAATGATTTGTTGCTGGTTAATGAATGAAAATTAATGCATAATTATTTTGATTTCCTTAGCAAGTAAATAAATACAGCTGTGATATATAGGGATGCTTTGTATGAGTAGGAGTATGTTACCATTCTTCCTTTGCACACAAAACACAGCACTTGGGTCAATAGTCAGTGCACAGCGTGGATCAGGAGCCAAAGCACCCAGTAGCTCTTGGCAGCCCTGTGCAGGCAACGAGGCGAGTCCCCCAGTGCTGCATGCTTACTGCACACAGCTGCATTCACACTTGCTCACCAGCCTGCACTGCAAGAAAACAAAATCAATTGAAATCCCTCCATTTCAGCAAGCGGAGGAAGAGGAGGAATAGTAGCAGAGCAGTGTGCGGCTGATAACACCCCTCCTTCACAAAGTCACATTTTTTTTCACCTCCCAACCCAATTTTAATTGTAAGGCAGCCTCTTAGGCTGTCTTAAATGACTGGCACTACTCCACTCAGGGGAATCTGGGGAGGGACTCATAAAACAGCAGTGCTTTAGAGCCGAGTAATCTATTGAAGAAGCAGGAGGAAGATAAGCACAATGTTAATTCTGGTCATATGCAATCGAAGCTGACAAAGCATCCATCACCCTGTACAATATTAGCCTTTACATATTCAGCTTTATCAATTTCCCCATTCCTAATCCATCATTAACAACCCCATGAAGCCTCAGCTAATTAGCCCCACCTCTGCAACTCGGCATCCTATTAACTATTTATTATTTCTATTTAGTTGCACTCCAGTAGCAGTGAAAAACTCCAACCAGACACATTTTAGTACTGCAACAAAGGAGATGGTCCCCTGCTTATGGAGTTCATGGTCGGGATGAGGGTGAAAGCAGCAGAGTAAATGACAGCCGTGCTGAACAAAGGCTTACTCACACACACTCTATTAAACACTCCATCCAGCATATCTACAGATTTTATATGGGTTTTATTTACTTATTTCTTTATTTCCATCACAGCATCCTTTGAAATCACAGAATGTGGTACAATTTGGAAGGGTCCAGCAAAAAGAAATAAGCAGGATTTAGTCTTTAGCTGAAAAATAGATTGAAAAACTATCTAAACCTTTTCATGATTAGTGAGTAGGAGATAAAATGCAGTGATTAAAGTCACAGTTTATCAGGATACTGGCTAACATACAGAATACGTACATTTTCTATGGATTTAATAAATAAATCCAAGCATTTCTCAATTAAAATACTTATATCACAGGGACTACATATGTGTAATTTATGAAGTGTTATGTATATTTTGCAGCTTGCTATTCACATGCATAATCAAAGCATAGATAGAATATTAAATGTTCTTTTTTTTCTTTTTTTCTCTACCAGCAATGCTCAGTTTGAGAGATCTGCATACCTTTTTGTCTTTGTCCCTTCTTTTTTTTTTTTTCATTTACATGGGAAGATATGAAGTCTGGCTTGGTTTTCTATTGAAGTAAACTTTGCAGAAGTCACTGGTGCCTTTTTTTTTTATCTCCCCCTTGTTTTCTGTACCTTCGTATTTATGACTCTCCTTTGAAGGGTGCCTGAAAGATCCAGTTCCTGA